TCGGGGTGGTGTCCCTGGGGAACCTCCACACAAGCTGAAAGCCCCTACTCAGGGGCCCCCCTGGGGCTGTGGGAGGAGCCGGGTGGAGGCCCAGTCTGATGGAGGAGACGGTACCGCAGCCCTGGGCGTCCCCGGGGAGGCTCCTGACTTCACCATCTCAGGCTGGCTGTGTGATGCCGGCAAGCCCTTTCCTTCTCTGAGCCTCAGTTCCCTGATCTTTAAAAAGGGCGCATTCGCCTGGAGACTGAGGCTGGTATTGACACCCTACTTCCTTCCTCCAGGTGCTTTAGAAAGAAGATGGCCGGCCCCACAACAGGTTCCCTGAGTGTGGCCCTGAGGGAGGGCTCCCTAGGGATCTTCCTAGGACCAGAGACAGAGGCTGAGGGATGCTGTGGCCTGAACAGGAACTTCCAGGGGCATCTGGGAAGGTGTCCTGGAGGGGAGCTGCAGTGGGCAGGAGCCAAAGGTCCCAGGTGGACATGGGTGGGGACAGTGCCCCTAGTAAAGCAGGAGCAGGTGCAGAGGCCCGGGGCCTGCAATGGTGCCGAGGCTGTGGCAGCCGCCCAGGCATGGCCTGGAGTAGGGTGGCCTCAGTGGGAGGCCTTGGTAACACAGTTCCCTAGTCTTTGCGGTCAAGCCAGGGAGGCAGGCCCTGTGTACAGGCTGCAGAGAACCACGAGAGGACTCTGGGCACGAGTGTTCCCACTGAGTGGGAGAAAGGAATGACCTGGCCAGCAGGCTTAGGGCTGAAGGGTGGACGAAGGTACCAGGAAGGCTGAATCCGGGCAGCACTGGGATGAGGGGATAACTGATGCAGTGAGAGATGTCACCAAGAGTCCCATGTGCGCAGGCGTGCCGTTTGCTGTTGGGCAGCCAGAGTCCAGGATGGGGAGCGGCGGGCACCTCTTCTCCAGACCGGAGGTCGGTCTCGGTTTCTCCTACCGCCTCCAGGCCCAAGGTCCCCCTGAACGTTCTGCACGTCTGGAAAAGACTCTGGGGGTGTTTGGGAACAAACCTGGGGAGGAAGGTGGGGCCAGAGGTGGTGACTGAGGTGGTCAGCCTGGGGTCAGGTGCTGGGGACGTCGTGGGGAGCTGTGGGGGAGGGGATCCATCTCAGAAAGCCAGTGGTGGCTGTGGAGTGTCAGGCAGTGCGGGGGGGGGAACAGGCTGGCTCCTGTGTGGAATGTCCTGGGAGCTCTGAGCTGGGAGCAGGGCCCTCTCGCTGCCCATGCCTGGGCGTGTGGAGTGTGCTCTCACTCCCTGCACTGCGCCTTCCGAAGACCCCGGGAGGGGAGCCCCCCCCCGCCTGCCTGCCTGCCTTGCCGGTCCCCGCTCCAACAGGCACATCCTGTCCCCAGCCAGACCAGGCTGCTGCTCGCTGGGTTTCCTGCCCTCTCCCCTGTAGTTCTGTATTTACGGCAAAAATATTTAAGTAAGCGCAAGCAGAAGTCGTACAGAAGCCCAGCTCTGCGCGGGATCCCTGCCTGCTCCTGCAACACCCCCATTCTCCTTGCTCATCCACGGGCAGGCTCTCACGTGGGGAGAGCTCACTAACATCAAATTCAATGGCAACCCTCGGGCCCACAGGCTCCACCGTTCATGCATAAAAGTCCCTGGGGTGCCAGGGAACCAGTGCACGCAGCTTTGGGATGACCAGTAACTGTTGCTGCCGGCAACTCGGGGGGCTTTCTTCTCTTCTTTGAGGCCATCCTGCCCTGAAGTCACTCCCTGGTGGCTTTTCTCTCCCCAGATGGTTAAGTGAGTCAATGGATGCCTTAGCCGAGAGATAGTTAAAGGGCAATTAAAAACTGCAAAGCAGGAGCCAAGTCTGCACTTCACTTTTTTAAAAAGACCTGAAATCTTTGCGGGTGCACCTGTGTCATCGGGCTGGGGCCTGACCCCTGCGGGCAGGCGTCACCCAGCCTCTTGCATGGAGGTTAACAAAGAGGCCCCTGTAGAATTCTGGACTTTCCACCATGCCGTGGGGCTTTCCATCCCAGCCCCTTGCCCGCGGGTGATCTGGAGCTGCCAAGGCTCCCTGGAGGAGGCCCTGGTGACAGAGACCCCTGGAGTGGAGTGAGGAGCTGGGGGGTTGGCCCTGTCTTCAGTGGGGCTGATGCCTTTGTGAGACTGAGTCTCACTTTCCCCAAGAGGTGCCTGGGCAGAGCTCTGGGACAGTATTGGGCTCTATCCCTGAGCCCCATGTCCTCGCTGGAGCTGGGAGGGCCCGGCAGCCCTTTCTCCCACATCCATGCTTTCTCTTGGGCACCTGCGGGCCTGCTACGCCCTGGGCTAGGCCTTGAGAGCTTCGTAATTCTGCTCACTCCATCAGCAGAACGGTCTCCTCAGGTCGTTTCAGCGTGATTAGTGCCATCACGATGTGGAAACTGAGGCCCATTGCAAGGAGGAGCTTGGCCAGAGTCACGCAGCTGCTAAGAACCATGACTCAGACCTTGATGCACGGAAGAACGGAGGTTTTCCAGGTCCATGCTCCGGCTGTGCTGGGTGCCCCTCAGGTGCCCAGGTCACGTCAGATGTTCTCAGCCTGCAAAGAGGGGGGACGCTGCCTATGTGATGTGTACGGAAGTCGGGAGGAGCCAGGTCCTAATGGCAGAGCAGGGAAGGGGCTGGAGGGGGCTTGGCCTTGGCCCCTCAGACAAGCCTGGACTCCATGCCTTCTCTCCTGCTCTAGCTGGAGGTTCCGTCCCCTGTAGCTCCCTGGAAGAGCCAGGCTCCCGGAGGCCAGGAGTCTGAGTCAGGATGGCCTCGGGGGATGTGGATCCCGGGCCAGGCCTTGGTTCCCGGAGGCCCCGGGCCCTGCTCCTGCAGCCTGGCCAGGTGGTTTGGCATCAGGGGAGGTGTGGGTCTCCTCAGGACACTTTGCGAGGACCCTAGCACCCTCCTGGCCACCAGCTTTCTCACCAGGCCTCGATTTCCTCACGGTAGAGAGGAAGTTGCCTCTGCTTGTTGGGCGGGACGGCCGTTCTACACAGGTGTCCAAGCCGGGGAGGCAGCTCCGAGCACCGGTGAGCTCAGAAGCACCCCTGCTCAGCCAAGGGCGTTGGGTGGGGGGGAACCTCCTGCCCCCTCCCCTCCTACTAGTCTTGTCTCAAACCTGCCCCGCTGGTTGGGCCTCAGGTTCCCTGGTCTGGCCTCTCCCCTGCATTCCACTGTGGGTATGTGTCCAAACAAGGTCGCTTTTCTCAGTGAACTAGGGGGCTGTGGTGCCAGATTTTTTCTTCTTTTTTTGCAGAATTGACCATCTGCCTTGCAGTCTTACCAAATAGCCCAGTGGGTGGGCCGGGGCCCTCTCAGTGGACAGGCCCTGGGAGAACAGAGCCCTGCCCTCTGCCCTGCCCGAAGCCCACCAGCTATGTACTGAATGTTGGTCTCCCCCCAGCATTCTTACGTTATCGTCTCACTCCCAAGGTGATAGTAGTAGGGGGTGGGACCTTTGGGAGGTCATTAGGTCGTGAGGACTCTGCCCTCAGGAACGAATGACTGCCTGTATAAAAGGGGCCTGATGGCTGGGCACAGTGGCTCATGCCTCTGAGCCCAGCACTTTGGGAGGCCGAGGCTGGTGAATCACCTGA